AACTCAATACAGATAGTGTCCTAGGTGGGAATTCATAACCCACAGCTAAAAGTCAAGAGTACTAACCTCTTGACCACTATTTTGCCTGCAGAAATACATGGAATGCTTGTGTTTTTTTTTTAAATAGAACTAATTAAAGCTAAACTCTAGGCACAAAAAACTTTTATTAACATTGAGGACCTAGTCTGCTCCAGTCTTCCCCTCTTCCCAGCCACATTCACATGGGCCAGACAGTGACAGTTGGCACAGCTGCCAGTGCTGCAGCCCTTTATCTCCCCCCTGGCCACCAGTGAGCAGAGGATAGTCATACAGGGAGAGGAGAGAGAGCAGGCCAGAGGACATATTGGCTGCGTTTGCAGCCACAGCCATGTCAGGAGGAGATCCAGCCCTCTGCCCTAGATATAGGACTCTATGATTGACTGCAGCAAAGCCTGGGAAAGGAAGAACCTACCCATGGACGTCTGGGAGCTTCTTGGAATGGTTGAGGATGTAGTCTCCTGGAGACAACCTCTATTAAGTAGAAAACTGTAAGGGAGGACAGTGAGCTGCAGAGAGGAGGAAAAGTAAGGAGAAACCTGGACTGGGGCAGTCTCTCTTGGGGAGCGAGAGGTGACAGTTGGAGTGTGCCACTAACTCAGAGACGCTGCTGCTGCTGGAGTAGTACTGTGCTATCACATTCACATGGAGGTCACTGCCACCAGAGAGGTCCAGTGATTTGGAGGATAGGGGCATCACAGGTTTTGTGAGAGATTGCCGATACAGAGTCTAAAGACACAACCAATGTGATTCCGGACACCAGAGAATGAGAAGACTCTTCACAACTATATGGGAGTGAGAGGCCAATGGCCATAACCTCCCTACCCTCCTCTTAAAAGGACAGCTTCACCCTAACTTGGGACTTCGTTTTGGAACTTATGCTCTTTTTCTTGGGATACAAACATACCTGAGTAATCCATTGCAGGACTCTGGGCTCCTTCGATTAGTACCACACTGGCCAGTGGAAGAGGTTTTGGAGAGACTCAAGGACCTTTCAGCTTCTAGACAAGTACCACCTTTAGATAGGACGCCCATAGTTTTAGGATTCAGGAACAGAAATACTTGGTCCTTTCATTGATTCTGTTTTATTGTATAAATCTGTTTAACCATGTGACTGTTCATTGCCCAGATTTTAGCTTTAAGAAAGGGGAATTGTAAGAATTTTAAAATGTATGCCAAGCAATACTTTTTTACTTTTTTAGTATAGAGTAGGATTTTACTGTTATCCATGGCTCTTTAAGAGAGATTTCCCTCACTTCCTGTCCTGCTGACAGGAAGTCATACACTCTTCTTCACAGTCTGCCTTCTCCACAGTGGCAGAGAACTGGCACCTTGTGACATCTTATCATGAGTGGTTGACTGTTGCCTGTGTGCTCATAATCCACTCTACCTACTCCCTATAACCTATGACTCCCTATGAGGTTAGATGAATGGCTTATTCATTTGGCTTGCTATGAGCTGGTCCACTCAGCTTATGGTTACAACAGCTATTGCTCTGCACTGCAGTCATGGCAGCACTTCAGAGAAAATGGCCTTGGGTCCTTTAGTGCTTCCTCATCAAGCACAAAATATGGATACCATTAGTAACCTATATAGTCACAGGACACTACAAATTCTCCATACTGTGGTGACATGTTATCTTTTATATACAAGGCAAGACACATTGTGAAGCTTCCGATGTCCTGTTGTATGTTCTCACATAGCACTGCAGAGGATACTTGTAGACAGGGGGAATACTCTTGACAGGCGACCCTGAACAGGTCATGAAACATGTTTCCTCCTTCTGCCAAAATCTCCTCCAATTCATTATTAATGACGCTTCTATTGCTTCTGAATCTCAAATGGCAACAGGGGAATTAGATGTTGATAGAAGAGGGGGTGACTGGTGAGGCAGGGGGCATTTACAGGAACTAATCGTCTTTTTGTCTCTCCCTGCAACTGCTGAAAGTTAGTGGGAAGGAGAAGAGGAGGAGCCAGGTTTCAACTGTTGCACGGAGAGACACACAAAGGATCGGTTCCTGTAATTGCCCCCTTGCCTCACCAATCACCTCCTTTTCTGCCCACATCTGATTCCCCTGCTGCCTAGGCCCCCCTGCTGGCCTAGGCCGGGTACACAAGGGCCGCTGCTACCCACTTATAGGTGGCCCTGGTGGCACTGGCTGGTCTACTCAATTTTAGCTTGCAATGGGGACACAGACAAAGAGGGAGGGACAGTGAACAGCACGATCAACCAGTTTTTTTGCAATCTACAAAAAATTTAAATGAAAGTGATTACAAACACAATATATAATATATAGCATTTATTGACAGGATAAAACGATTTGGGTTCAATGACACTTTAAATACATTCCAGTGGCATCATAACAAAATGTATGAAAAGTCTTACAGTTTTGTTCTTAAAAAATAATCCAGTGACTGAGTAGAAAAGCCTATCCCATGCCAGCATGCTCCAGAGAAAGACCCTTACGCTCTAAAAGCAATGGGCTGTCTGCTGAGTTCCAACACTCATCCTCCTGAGTTAGATCTGGAACACTCCAATCAGCAAAGCTCATGTTCTGTGCTAACTGAAGAGCTATAGCTTTGATTTAGAAAGGGGAGTATGCGACCTTTGCAGAGAGACCTCTGCTTCCGCCAAGAGAGCAATGCTCCTTCTCTGCAGTATGCTGGCAGTAAACAGGTTGTTCTACTAGGGCTGTAGCTGCTTTAAGAAAACAAACTATTAAACACCTTTAGTTTGATGCACCTGGAATGTATTTATCTGATTTAAACTGAAGATTCAATTTATGCTCTAATGGATTTTTCATATTCATTACATATACAATCATCTCCATCCACAGCTAAAAAAATATGTAAAAGTTTTGTATAGAGTTGCCTCCGGAGCTTTCATAATTTACATTCTGATAAATTATTATCTGTAGCTGGTAATGCTCTGCTGGTTGAGGTCCAGAGGAGTTGTGATCCTTTCTGCTTCAGGAAACCTTGTGAACTTCGAGTGACAAATAAAAGTTCAAAAAAGCTGTTAAAATGGAAACTTTGTGTTCCACCACAATTTCTTAAATGCCGTCTGGCTCCATCCAGCATCTGCTAGACTTCTGATTGCATATTTCTGCTTGATGAGGACATCAGTCTGGCAAGACACCCTGTTCTGATGGCCTGCCTTATGAAGCCTTCATTATTTTTATATCATTTTGTGTCTGACACAAAACCATGTGACATTATACATCATGTATCTGCTGTGTGGGATCTAAGGCTAAAAGGTCAAATTAATCCTACAGATTCATTCATTTTTATATTTTCAAGTATATGTTGGAATGTATTGCTAAATCAGTACTATTAATTAGCTGCGTGGTCTATAAGAACAAATATATATTAAAGAGTAATAGCCATGTCTAACCAAGTTGTATAGATAGCATTCTACTGTTTCTCATTTGAAGAGACTGGTCCCTCTTTTGGAATCAGATTCATCAGTCCTTTTTGATTTGATATAAAAATTTAATCATTAGTTTGTCTTTTCTTTACTTATCCCACAATAACTCCTATGCATTCCGGTATCCCAAGCACATTACATACCACTGCTCCAGCAGTGAAATATGTGATCTTTTTCCACTCCATGTGTGTGGGCCATGTTGGTGCTTCAACCCTCCCTTGAATGTTAGATGCTGGAAGTTAGACATGCACCCTTAGTGGCTGCTCTGGCTCGTTCAAGCTGCATCCATGAGCCACTTCACCTAGAGAGTGCACTGCCCATGCTTGAACGACCAGGATTCTTGTTCAAGATGACACATGGTTATTGTTCAACTAGGGACTACCTTTGTCCGTTCACAAGCTCCTACTCTCACTCTTACAAGTCAGTCTGACTTGGTGGCCTGAAGAAAAAATGGGTAAATGGCCGCACACCACCACGGAATGAATCCAAATAATATCTTTATTGTCTTCACGTACAGTTGAGCAATACAGGACATGCTGTTAACATGTTTCACACTTAGAATATGTGCTTATTCATAAAACGCCTCTAAAAGCAACTTTTTTACACCCAGTGCGCAAAAGGCCTCATACTCTTGTGGAAGACCTCTGAGTGCGTACTGGACCTTTTGTTAAATTGCTATATTCAGGTACAGCACCAGGGAATTTTGTTTTGGCCAGAGTGCTGGTACCATCATTTTGTATAAGACATCATCAGACAAATCATATGAATACAGTATATGAATATATATAAGTATAGAATTGTGCGGTAGCTCCCAACTCCAGCCAGCTGCCAAAGCCATTATGGGAAAGGTCTTGTTCTTCCTGTTGTACTTTTAATTTTACATTAACCACTTGCCTACCGGGCACTTATACCCCCTTATTTACCAGGCCAATTTTCAGCTTTCAGCACTGTCGCACTTTGATTGACAATTGCGCGGTCATGCAAGATTGTACCCATATGAAATTTTTATCATTTTTTTTCTCACAAATAGAGCTTTCTTTTGGTGGTATTTAGTCGCTGCTGCGCACTTTAGTTTTTGTGCTATAAGCAAAAAAAGTGCAAAAAATTTTGAAAAAAAAAAAAAGTTTTTTTGTTTCTATTATAACATTTTTCAAACAGGTAATTTTTCTCCTTCACTGATGTGCGTTGATGAGGCAGCACAGATGGGCACTGATAGGCATCACTGATGGGCACTGATAGGCAGCACTGAAGGGCACTATAGGCGGCACTGATAGGCAGCATTAATGAGGTGGCACGGATAGCCGGCACTGATATGCAGCACCAATGAGGTGTCACGGATAGGTGGCACTGATATGCGGCACTGATTGGTGGCACTGATAGGTGACACTGATAATGGGTACTGATAGACAGCACTGATAGGTTGCACTGACTGACATCACTGCTGGGCACTGACTGGTGGCACTGCTGGGCACTGACTGGCACAACCGCTGGGCACTGACTGGTGGCACTGACTGGCAGCACTGCTGGGCTGCACTGATGGGCACTGGTGGGTGGCACTGATGGGCACAGGTGGGTGGGCACAGGTGGGTGGCACTTCTGGGCACAGGTTGTGACACTGCTGGGTGGCACAGGTAGGCGCACTGCTGGGCACAGGTAGGTGCACTGCTGGGCACAGGTGGGTGCATTGCTGGGCACAGGTGGGTGCACTGCTGGGCACAGGTGGGTGGAACTTGTGTGTGGCACTGCTGGGCACCGATCATCAGGACACTGGTGATCAGTGAACCTGATGATCGGTGCCGATCCCCGCTCTGACAACTGCCGGTTTTCGGCAGTACTTTCCTCACGATCTGACAGCGTGAGGAAAGTGCAGCTGAGAACCGGCATTTGCATTTTCCCGGTGATCAGCGTATCATTGGACACGGCTGATCACGTGGTAAAAGGCCGCTGTGATTGGCCTTTTACAACGTCCGTAGGACACAACGATCACTGGGGGGGGCGCGCAGGAGAGCGCGTTCTGGGAGGACGTCATATGACGTCCACCCAGAACTGGCCGGCCGCAGTGCAGCCGTCATTCGGCTATCTGCGGTCGGCAATTAGTTAAAGAGAATGCAGCAAGAACAGTGAGTGTGCTGAATGGGGGAGATCTTCCGCCTCCAGCAGTGTGAGCTTGGTACTTGAGACCTTGAGAAACATAAGCTAAAAGGAAATTCTCTCTATCGTCATTCACCAGTAAATTAATGTATAATGAATGGCAAAACTTTTTTAATTAGTTTTGGATAGAGATTAGAGCATCTGTTGCCGTGTGTGCCCCCGTTAGGGAGATTCACCTTCACCATTTGTTCTGGTGACCCTTATCATTGAGAGTGAAAGTGAAAGTAAATCCCAAATAAAGTGTAAATATTCAAATATTCCAGTAGGAACACTTGTTCAGGGATTCCCTCTCTTTAGATGGATTTCTTCTCACTTCCAGTTGTGGCTTTGGGATAGAAGGTGAAGGTAAATCTCCCCAATGGGACAAAGATGGCAATAAAGAACCTGACAGAGGTTATAACCCTCCCTTATTCTATCCAAAATGATACAAAAAAGTTTTATCTATAGTTCTACTTTGAATGAACTCCAGGCCAACATGAAACAGATTATTTCCACTTTGCTTCCCTTTATAAATTATTATAAAAAGCTGGGAAGGAACATGCTGATAGAAAGCAGAGAGCAGAGTGAGCAGAGGGATGACCTTTTAAGTCCTCTGCTTCTACTTCACTATTTATTTATTATATCAGAAAGCTGGGGAAGAAGCGGCTTTAATGGGGCTGTAAACGGAGCTGTAAAAATGTCAGGACAAGAAGATGAAAAACAAATGCTTGGACATGTAAATTAACTCCCATATAAGTATTACATCTGTTATTTAGTAATAATTGGAGCGATCCTTTAAACTGAAAATTGATAATGTAATTGTTTCATAGCCTGGAAAAAAATGTATACTTTGATTAGTTTTTCCAGTCTTCTCTAACTTGTTCAGGCCAGGTATGTCTCCTCTAAATCTCATCACATTGTATAAAGCTATGGACAGCCAGAACCATCCATAAGAATTGTATCAGTCCCAAAACTCATAATTTTCTGTTAAAGCTTATAATATTAAAATATTCATTTCTCTCTCTGCGGATTTATTATTACTTTGATTGTCTAGAATGAACGAATGTTAATTCTATACTGCTCCAGGGTCTTCTGGCTTAGGCATCCGATCTGTCAGTCAGATCTGGCATTGTAATCATTGTACCGTACTGATGGCTTTCTTCTCTCTTTTTTCATTGCTTTCAGTAGTCCTAGCACAACATTGGCAAAGCAAATGAGTTAGCGATTAAAATATCTGATTGTCTCTGTACAATATCCACTGCAGAGTTTAAAAGGATTGTGCCATCAAGCTAAACACCTGTCTGAAAAGCCTTTGATGGAAGCTGCCGTTTTCTGCCCCACAAGCAGTATTCTATTTCCAGAGCAGCGAAGCACCTGTCAGAGGACGGAGAGAGAGCCCTGTCGGCTAGTTTGCAGCTTGTGAATCAGACAATGACATCCTCAAACACCGCTCAGACAGTTATTTAGCTGCATGACAAATCCAATTTAAAGAAAACCTGTACTAAGAAAATAAGCAGGCTGCTGCAGTGGAAAGTGCTAGTTGTCTGGCTGTTATGTTGATCTAAGACTAGGCTCATCACAGGCGGCTAAGGGGTGGTAAAAAGATGGTTTTATCTGCGTTTACTTCCCCCCTACTACTCCCTGACCTTCTACCTACAAATTAACATAGCACCAAAAATTGGGAACCGAAGATTCCATTAACCACTTCAGCTCCAGAAGGTTTTACTCCCTTCATGTCCAGGCCAATTTTGGCTATTTAGAACTGTGCTACTTTAACTGGTAATTGCATTGTCATGCAACTCTATACCCAAATGACATTTATGTCATTATTTTCACACAAATAGATCTTTCTTTTGGTGGCATTTGATCACCACTGGGTTTTTATTTTTTATTATATAAATGAAAAAATACCCAAAATTTTGAAAAAAAAAAACCCAATATGTTTTTCCTTTCTGATATAAAACATAACCAAAAAAACAAAAAAAAAAAAAACAAATCTCTTTATACGTTTTGGTAAAAATGTATTCTGCTTCATGTCTTTGGTAAAAAATATTCCAATTAGTGTATATTGATTGGTTTGTGTGAAAGATATAGCATCTGCAAACTATGGTATATAGTAAGGGTGGCGATCAGCGACTTATAGTGGACTGTGATAGTGCGTGGGCAACCTGACAATAACTGGGAACTGACTGACACTGACATCACCAGTGACACTAATACAGTGACAGTAGTACTATACACTGTCACTGTACTAATGACACTGGCTGGGCGGGGGTTAACATTTTGGGGTAATCAAAGTGTTGCGTGTATGCCTAACAAGTGTTAATATGTGTAATGTGTGCTGCTTTTTACTAAAAAATCTGTTTGTTTCTTCGCCCTGCTTTGCAACAATCAAAGAGGCTGTTCCCTCTATACAGAGTCCTGTGTTGTTTGTCAACACAGTGCTCTGGGCTGTGATTTGATCAGCAGGTCCCACCCATGAATCATTGGCCAGGACCTGCTGACAATAAGTCTATCTGTGACATTTCCTGGCTACTAAATATTCCACGGTCAACTGTTAGTGGTAATATAACAAAGTGGAAGCAACTGGGAACAACAGCAACTCAGCCACCAAGTGGTATGCCACGTCACATGACAGAGCGGGGTCAGCGCATGCTGAAGCGCAAACACAATTATGTGCCACTTGTGTTGGTCTATATCACATAAAATCCCAATAAAATACATTTACGTTTTTGGTTGTAAAATGACAAAATGTGGAAACTGTCAAGGGTTATGAATACTGTTTCAAGGCACTGTACAATTTGCTGACTGTACCTAATGATTGCTATCTGTTTTGGGTTACCATCGCTTAGCTTTATTTTTTTATTGTTTATATTGTATTGCTGCAAACAGATTTTAACTCGAGCCATTTTTGAAATACTCAGTGCAACTGTGGTTGTCTGAAATGTGTGTCCACTGCCCTTTTATGCTGTCCAAAAGAACTACACGGAGTGTTTGGTCCTCTGGCATTAAAGCTCTTGCATTTGCTATCTATGTCTATCTCCTACATAAAGATTCTTTTTGCAGTTCATAGATGATTTGCCTCTGTCAAGGAGAAAATGTAAGGCATTCTAGGGAAATGACTGCAGATATTCTTGTCTACACAGCGTGTATGAAAAAAACTGAAATAAATTTGTTCTCATTGAATGTTTCTCCTGTTATTGAGCAAAATGCAGTATTTACAAGTATAATAGGACTTACAGTAAATGAAAAAGCAAAGATTGGGAAAAAAGGACCTAAAAAGAAAATAATCAACATGAGCAAAACTGTAGATCTTTGTGAGGTGAAAAGTGTTTTTTTCATAATAAGATAAAACTTCAGTAAATGCTCGCAATCAAAGTGGAAATCCATTACCACCACAGGGGTTCAACAATACTGTGCAGCATTTTACAAAGAGGTTTTATTAGACCAGCTTCATAGAATAGAAAAAATATGCTCTTTTGAACTCAAAAGTTAACTTGACAATTGTGACTTTTATGATCTACTGTTAGCCAGCAGCAGCTGGAAAATGTGGCAAATCAAAGAACTGCATGGGCTGGGTTTTGTGACCTCCTATCAACTGACAGAAACGACTGCTACTTGAAGTGTCATTTATAGAGCTTCCAATAGAAAAGAGCCCTTGGTTATAGAGTTTACTAAGTAGATCAGACAGCAGTTTTTAATTTATCCCGTTAAAGCGGTATTAAACCCCAAAGCAAAAATATAAGATATTGCAGCTTACCAGTCATTAGATGTGGTGGCTGAATTACTTTTTTTTTTTTTTCTGGCTTTTTTTCCCCTGATGATCTGGCCATTAACACACCTCCTGTATTAGAATTCCCCTACTCTGGATGAAGGAGCATAGGAGGCACCTTTGGACAGCAGAATTGTCAGTCTTTGGGTAGAGAAGTGTTAGATGTACTAACCGATTTAGATACACTAACAAATTGAAGCCAAACTCCAGCTCACACTTCATAAGCAGTTATAGCAAACCGTTTTCTTCCTATTAGGATAAAGGTTTTACATAAAGAAATAAAAGCTGATTATTGTAAGCACCCCTGCCAGTGTTGAATTGCTTGCCTCATCCCTGTAAATTAGTACATATGGAAGGCACCTTGTTCTTTTGAAAAACAATAGACTTACTGGCTAGATCATCAGATGAAAATAGAAGAATGAAAGCCATAACAAAACTAAAAAGACATCAAAATGAACAAATGTAGCCATCACATCTAGGAATTTGGTAACGTAAGTTGCAATATAATACGTTTACTTTTGGGTTTAATACTGCATTAATGTCTAGATAAGGCTTTCTTATTCATGGTTCCTTCAGAGGTTGCTAGGTGGGTTCCTTAACCTCCCTAGCGGTATTCCCGAGTGTAGCTCGGGGTAAAATGTCAGTGCCAAAAGTGGTAACCCCGAGCTACACTCGGGCTTACCATGCGGCGCTGCATAGGGAGTCCCTGCAGCACTTACCTTGTCCTTCGCTCCCACAATGTGTCCCCTGCAGCGTCCCCGGCCATCTCCTCCAGCTGATGCCGGCATCCGGCTCCTGTGTTCCGGTCCCTGTGACATCGGGACGTACGGGCGGCGGCGGCGGCGGCAGGAAATTTGAAAATTTAAAAAAAATGTCATTTTTTTCAAAACTATTTTACATAGTAAAACATTGCTGTTTCAACCCATTTCACATACATTTTGTCCCTAGTGCTTTGTCCTGTCCCCTGTCTGCATTTTGACTGTTCTTT